ATTTGACATTAAGCCTTGAATTTTGAATTCATATCATACAGTATATGAGTGAACATACAATTAGTTGTATTTATAGCCATACATATCACCACTAATTGAATATCTGTTCATAACTTGTAATTCAATACAAGGGATCCATTGACCACTTCTGCAGACATGTCTCCCAAACGCCTCCTCCTGTTGTCCAACTCAACGATGTCTGGAACCGATTACATGCTGTGGTCCAAGCAATTGATCACCAAATTCTTGACCAAATACAACGTCAAGAACATAGTGTTCATCCCTTTCGCCGGCGTATCCCTGGATTGGGAGGAATACGAGAAGAAAGTGAGTTCAGCTCTGACTGAGTTCACGGTCACATCCATTCACAGGACATCCGATTACTTGGAGAGTATCCTCAGAAGTGAAGCCATAGTGATCGGCGGCGGCAACAGCTTTCACTTGCTCTACAAACTCCAAGAATTCAATTTAATTGATGCCATTCGCCAGCGAGTGCTCAACGATGGCGTGCCGTACGTGGGCTGGTCTGCCGGCGCCAATGTGGCCACACCTGACATCGGCACCACCAATGATATGCCCATCATTTGGCCCAAAACGGACTCTGCCCTACATTTGGTCGACTATAACATTAACCCTCACTATAATGAATGGAAACCCTCAGGACACGGAGGGGAGACCAGGACTGACCGCCTCAATGAGTGCCTTCTCGTCAAAAAGAGACCCATTGTGGCCATCAGTGAAGGCATTGGCATCGAAGTGGACGGCGACAGACATACAGTGATTGCACCGGAACTCCAGTGCGGCGACCGATACGTCAAGATTTGGTTATTTAATGGCAATAATGACACGAATATTGAAGTGATTAACGCGGCCTTCGGTCAAGACATCGGACCTATTGTTTCGAAATAACTACTTCTTATAACTCTTTAAATCATTGGTTTATTATATTAAATATGAAATGGATTTTTGAATACATTAATGAATAAACTTTTTGATATTTTTAAATATACTGTAAATCGAGAAAATACTTTAAATATAGGAAGCGATAAATAAAATGATAACTCGTTTAAAGTTGATATAATTGAATGACTTTTTGAATGTAAATAAAAGTCTGAGAAATACATAAAAAACTAAACAAAAAAAATCAAATCAAA